TCCTCCATGCTGTCTTCCAATTCCAAGTGGCTGGAATGGAGACTATCCTCAGGACAGGGCCACTTATGGAAGGTGGAAGAGCCACATACTAGAAGTAGCTGGGGACTTGGAATCACTGTGGAAGGAGAGGTGCCTGGTTGGAGCACTCATCCTATACTTTTACGACAAGAGGAAATAAATGTGAGTGTGTGTGTATGTGTGTGCGCACATATGTGTACACATGTGTGCATGTGTCATATGTGTTGCATACGTGTGCATGTGTGTGCATGCATGTGTGTGCATGTGTGGGTGGGGGTGTGCATGCATGTGTGTATGTGTGTGCATGTGTGTGTGCATGTGTGGGTGTGGGTGTGCATGTGTATGTGGGGTGTGTGTGTGTGTGCATACATGTGTGGGTGCATGCATGTGTGTGCACATACGTGTACACGTGTGTGTTGTGTGTGCGTGTGTGCATGCATGTATGCGTGTGTGTGCATGTGTGGGTTTGGGTGTGCGTGCATGTGTGTGCATGTGTATGTGGGGTGTGTGTATGCATACATGTGTGGGTGCATGCATGTGTGTGTGTGCATGTGTGGGGGCGCGTGTGTGTGTAGCCACTGCGATAGCAGGCGGTGTCTTTTTCAGTTTGTTTTACCTTAATAATACTCTCTACTCATATTTACTTTGCAGCCCACATTGCTTTCTCGAGTTATATGATCTGATATTATAATTAAACATTTATTTGTCTACTTATTTATTTTCTGTTTGTCCTCAATTGAACAGGCTTCAAGAACACAGGGACTGATCTTTCTGCTCCCTCCTGCACCACAGGGCATACATCAGTACCTGGCATGTAGTAGGTGTTTATTAAACACAAGCCCTTTTTCTCTCATATTTGTGAGTGTGGGAAATAGAAAAGTTCCTTTATAAAATTTCCTTTCTTATTGAAGAATAAGTGTGCTAATAACTCTGTGAAGCCCTATCCTATGTAGCTGTGAGACAGGCCGTGCTTACAGGCACGTAGTACATTCTGTGTCCTTGTACTTTAACCAAGATACCTGTGCTGGACGTGCTCACAGGCGTGTCCCAGCTCTCCATGGCTTTTACCTGTTTAGAAAAGTTTTAAATCATTACCCAGTCGGGTTTTAGTTTAGATTGTGAGGTCTGGCTCCAGCCAACGGAGAGCAGACACAGCAGTGAGGACGACCCCAAAGGCGTAAGGGATAAATGTGTGTGTTTTCCTTTGTTCATTGTACTCTCATGGCACGATGGCTAGTGAGGGAACCATTCCTGTAGTCCGGGAAGTGACAATTTCACTGCTGAAAAATCCTTTTTCTCAGTGTTGATTTTTCTTTGCAGCACTGAGCATCTATTTCCAACATGGGGCCAGAACAGTTTGAAGCCAAATCCCTGTGTGCTGGCACGGGGAATGCTGCCAGTAAGGACATGGGGCGTGGAGGGGGGCGGAGGGAGGCAGGGGTGGGGCAGCAGCATCTGTAGACCCACAGGGAGCTCTGTGGCCCCTGTTTCCTCATCCTTAGCAAAAATGCCCTCAGAGGCCCAGCAGCCGAACTCTTCCTGGTCCTGGTGATGTGGGTGCTTCCCTCCATGGTGCTTTATTGCTACTTTTATTTCTCCCACAGAGAAGATCACCCTTGTGATCTTGTTTTTAAAAAAGATCAATTCAAATGTAACTTGTTCAATGTATTAAAATAACAATTTCAAAAATCCAGTGCTTCCTTGAGCCTTTAAATCTAGCTAATTTAAACCTTGTTCTACCTGTAACAGGCAAAGTTTAGTAACTTCCTTTATGGGGCCTGTGAATAATTCTGGGTCCATTGCTGACTTAGTTAATTTAATAGCTTTAAGCATTTTAATTGCACTTCCAAAATTAATATATTTAAATTTATATTTTAGTATTTCAGTGTTCCACCTTTAGCAATATAAATATAAATATAAATAAAAATATAAATAAATATAAAACTCGGAATATAAACTAATTTTCAATATCTAATAATTTAAACATACAACTGTGATGAACCTAGGGGAGGTCTCTTAAACGTTCTAAAACTGTACACACGCCACAGATTTCCACATAAAATCACTAACTCATTCAATTCCTCGAGTTCACATTTTCAATTGGATTATCAAGGTGTCACTGACATAGGCCAAATTCTCCAATACTCAAAATACCAAATGGACATAGATTACTTTATGCTAAAATATTCATACTATGAGTTTCAATTTCTCGATCCTGTCTAGACTTTAGAAGAAACAGACGCCTACTCAGGAGGCAGTCAGCACTCGGGGAGCCCAGGTGACGGAGGCCCAGGGAATCCGGGCAGGCTGCCATGGGCTTTGGGTGACCAGCTCTGAGGGGCTCATTGCTTCCCTGTGAGTCTTGCCCATGGCACTTGGGCAAGGAGAGAAGGTGCCAGGAGGGAGACCACATCTCTGGGTTCCATTTCCACACACCCCTGGGAGCCTGCCCCTCCTTCCCAGCCATGTTCTGCTCACACTGGGTCTGGCGTGGTCAAAGCCGTGGTCTTCAAATGGCTTTGTGTCCTCAGGCCCGTATGATGCCAGGGACGTGGAGCTGGTCTGCCATGAAGGCTTGAGCCTCACAAGGCTCTTTCCACTGGGGTCGTGATTCTAGCCCTTTTGACCCCTGCGCAGGGATGCTGGCGGTGCAGTTGGGACCACAGCCTGCCACCTCTCCCTAATGGGACTGAACCCGAGAACAGCGTTTGCTTCGGGATTTTGCTCTTCTCTAAGAGGTGCGGGTCAGGCTTTGAAGCTGGGGCCAATCTGCCTACTCCCTGGTTCAGGGGGCAGGTGTCCAATGTTCCCTGCGAGCACTTTCACGCCACCCTTCCCCATCCCTGCCCCCACCTGAAGCTGCTGCTGTCCCAGTCACCACCACATGTCTGTGGGGAACTGGCTTGGACGGGCCCCTGGTCCAGTTCCTTGGGAAGGCTCCTGGTCTGCCCACACCACCTTCGCCAGCCAGTGTCCTCTAAGGTTAGAATTGACTCCCTGCAAGATGGCCAGGGAGACCCCTAGTGACCATCCTGCTTCCCTCTCCCTCCCCTGGGAACCACCTCAGACGCCGTGGACGTTGCTAAACTTCTGTGGACTTAGAGCAGATTCTCTGCAAGTGAATTCCTCAAGGACTGGGTTCCACAAGCCCTTCTGCCTGGCGCGGGCCTCAGGCAGTGTCCCCGTCGGGCTTTCTCTAAAGACACAAATGGGCGGGCGCTTCCCACGTGGGCCTCAGGGAGCCTCTGCCAGGCAGTGTCCCCGCCAGGGGAAGCCAGGCTCGTTAAAGGGGAAGCCAGGCTCGTTAAGCGGGAAGCCGGTGAGGCCTGTGGAAGACAATGGCCCCGGGGCGGTCTCCACTGCCAGTTGGGGCCACCTAGCCATTGGGAGGGAGTGGCCATCCCCAGTGGGGTTGGGAAATAGAGACAGAGGTTACAGTGGGTGGCCGCAGCGCTGTGAGGGCCACGAAGTTCCTTCAGTGGCAAAGACCAGGGCCCCAGGGCTGAGCTGAGCTGCCGGGGCCATGGGACCCGGTCTCCTGGTCCTCTCCTTCCTGTGCACCATGGCCTTGACTGATGACACCTGTCCAGGTGAGTCAGCCCCCAGGGGAGTAGGACTTTAGAGCCATCAGGCTCCGGGAAGCTGACAGCGGCCACTCGCTGACCACTCACGGCGCGCCAGGCCTGGCACCCGGCCCTTTGGGAAGGTTCCTGGCTTATCGTCTCAACAGCTCTTTTTAAGCTTCACACTTTGAAGAGGAGACAGAGGTTCAGAGACACAGACGCAGCTTAACACAGGAGCCGGGTCCTCAACCCAGAGCACCCAGCCCACGGGGGTCCCGCCCAGCAGCCCTTTCCCAGGGCTGAGTCCTCCTCCACGGAAGGGCTGTCGTGAGAGCCCCATGGCCTGTGAGGAGGCAGTGGGCATGTAGGACGTTGGCTGGGGATGGGCCTAGTCAGAGTCTGTGCCGTGGTCACCATCACTGGGAGACCTCCCAGCTGGATGTGGTCAGCAGGGTCAGGCCCCAGCTCTGTGGGGAATTCGGCCGGGAATGCACCTGGCACTCGGGACAGGAGGTTCCCGCTGTGTCCCTGATGTGGTCCAGTGAGGGCGATATGACCCCAGGGCTCCAGACCTCCTTCCCTGGGCTCCTGGGGCACTCAGGTGACTCCCGGCAGCTCCACCCGTGGCTCCATCTTCTGGGGGGGGCTCTGGCCCCCCTGCATTGTGACCATGCTGGAGGACATTGCTCTGGGCTCAGAACCAGGATGGCTTCCACAAGCTGTAGTGGGCACCATGGCCTGAGCCTGCTCCTAGTGGACCAAGGTACCGGGGCAATGATGGGTTCTGCGGGGAAAGGCCCCCGGTGGGGCTAGGACGAAACCCACAGCACACAGGCCCCTGCGCTGGTTATGTTATGGGCGAGTTAATTTCTTCCCCCCAGCATGTCTTATTTTCTAGATTATCTAACATTATTAAGTATTCTTTTTTAAGGAGAAAAAAATAAGCCAATAAAAGAAGTGGTCTACACGTGCTCTGACCAGTGAGCCAGGGGTGAGGGCGCTGCTTCAGAACACCGCCTCTAAGAGGGCCCTAGGAGGGCCTGTCGATTTGTAATCAACAACAACAAAAATGTTCTTTCAAAGAAGTCAACAGCCTCAGTTTGGCTCCAGCTGTGCCGCCCCGGCTCTGTGTCCTTGGACCCCACACGGCCCCTCTCCACGGGACCAAGAAGGCCCCTTCCAGCCCAGAATTCCACAGCCACCTTCCAGGGGTCTGGGAGGAAAAATGCTATGTCAGCCCCAATCCCCCCATTTTCTTAGAAATATTTATTGTCATTAGTTACTGGAAGTGCCCACTGTTTATGCAGCTCTTTCTAAGTGCCATAAATCACTGTAAGAGATTTAAAATGTGCATTCTCTAATCCTGCCCTGGCCACAACCTTGTTATGATCCGTACTTGACAGCCCAGAGGGCAAAGCTCCGAGTGCAGTGAGTTTCCCCAGGGCACATAGCACTGAGGAGAGGAGACTCCCCTAGGTGGGGGTGGCCTCCAACGCCAGGGCTCTGCCCCCCTTCACCTCCCTTCCTCGCTAGTGCCCAAGGGGTGAGGACAGACCAAGGCCCCAGCAGAGCAGAAAACCTCATTTCCCAGGCGCTGTTGGGCCAGGCACTGAGTGCCCACCTGTGTTTCTCTGCGGAGGTGAAGGTGGTGGGCGTGGAGGGCTCCGACAAGCTCACCATTCTCCGAGGCTGCCCGGGGCTGCCGGGGGCCCCAGGGCCAAAGGGAGAGGCAGGCGCCAATGGACAGAGAGGTAAGTGCGGGCCAGTGGGGAGGCCGGGCATCCCGGGGGCACTGGCTCTTGCTGTTTTTGAAACTAGATGCTGAGCTGGGCAACACCCCCACCGTGGTTCCTAGATCGAGAGCCTGGGTCGGGCCCTGCTAGAGGCAGGGACGGAGCCGACTCCCAGGGCCCAACAGCGTTCTGAAATGCCTTAGCCGGGTCCTCATCTTTTAATGACCTAGTGAGGGCCCAGTGGGTGTTTTGGCAGCAAACCTGGTTTCAGTCCTGACCTACCGTCGCTGCGTGGCCACCAGCAGGACTCTGATTCCCAGTCCCTATCTCACTTGGGCTGTGGGGCTAAAAGTCTCTCAGGGACCAGCTTCACAGGAGGAACCTGCAGCTCAGGAAGTGAGGACAATTGTCAGGTTCTCACGCCTGGCAGGGGAAGAGCCGGGACTGCACCCACAGGCTCTGGGAAGGGCTCTGACTTTCCAGCTTCCTGCCCCTGAGTAGATAGGAGAGCCTGTGAGGCCTGGGTCCTGGGTCTAGAACCTTCTGGTGCAGGACGGGCACACTCAGGTGGGGCCACGGTCACCTCGAAGCCCAAACAGGATCCTGGTCATGACTGGAAGTCACAGCAGCCAGCTCCAGGGTGGGTTCTTCGGGTCCTGAGCAGGGAGCTCTGTTTAAGGCGGTGTCTTTGGAATTTGCAGGAGAACGCGGCCCCCCTGGAGCCCCTGGGAAGGCAGGACCACCAGGGCTCAAGGGTAAGGAGGGGACCAGAGTGAGGAGGGACTGTGAGGCCCTTTCAGACCCAGCTGCAGAGGAACGTGGATGGGGCCTCTGGGGCTGCCACGCTGTCCTCGCCAGAGCTCACACCTGCCCAGCGTGGGGGAGGGGCTCTCAGGGGCAGGGGTCCCAGTGTGGGGGAGGGGCTCTCAGTCAAGGGGAGGGGTCTGAGTGTGGGCGAGGGGGTTCTCAGGGGCAGAGGCCTTAGTGTGGGGGAGGGGTTCTTAGTCAGGGGAACGGTCTCAATGGTGGGGATTCTCAGAGCCTGGGCATCCACCTGTGGGTAGACCTGAGACCAAGCTTTCCCCCTCCAAGGTCAGTGTCTGCTGGGGTGGGTGGGACAGGGTCGTCTGCTCACCTCTCCCAGCCCCTCTCACCCCATCTCATCAGCCATCTCCCCTGTCCTGTCACCTCGTGTCTTCTGACCCCTGCAGGAATCCTTTTGGGGTACTGTTTAAAAACCTAGGTTGCCCGAGTGGGCAGGGAGCATTAATGACAAGTCTGATCAAGACTGTGTGAACTTACAATAGACACATTATATGTGTATAATACATACGTTACAACGGCTGTCTGATGCGTGTGTGTACAGATCATTTAGGAAAACCAGAGCAGCGTGCTGCAGGGAGGGCAGCCCCTGTCACCGCTCTGTCCACCCCGAGCTGCTCTGAGCTGCGCTGGACGCGCTGGGAGAGGAACACTTTCTCTCACTCAGCTGGAGGCTCCATCATACTTTGCCTCTAAATGTAAATAAACGCCTATTTGCCCAGACCCCACCTGACCGCACCCTTCATGCCACATCTACAAACACAGGCCACTCTGGAGCCTTTAGGGGTTCAGGGAGACCCCGAAGCACTAAGCTCCCTCTAGCTTGGACATGCGGCAGGAGGAAGGGGCCAATTAATTCAGGCCCAGTGACTCTGCTGCCTCCAGGGACAAGAAAGGCCACAGCCACCCCAGATGGCCACAGGCACTAGCAGCTTTTCTGGGGGGCAGTGGCCACCTTCATGTCAGGAAAGTGAGGCAAGCGCCACCATCTTCTGCTCTGTGCGGGGGACAAGTTATCTGACTTCCAGTTCTTACTGTGTGTGTTTGCCTGTCTGTCCCCGTCTCCAGGAGACCCTCAGGAACCCAATCTGTGTAACACAGGTGGGTGGCAGGCCCCGGATCCTCCAGCCCCGCCTGCACATGCACCCCACACCAGCCCACCCCGACCTGCACCCACCAGGAGC